AAGACTGCAAGCGGTGGATGCGATCAGTGCTGGATCAACTTCAGCAAAAGGCACCCATGAAGCAGATCACTGTCATTTACGACAATGCTCCTTGCCACAATAGACTGGAGGAAATATTCACTGAGAGTGAATATCGTGAGGCAAAGCTGCTGAGGATGCCACTATACTCGCCAATGCTCAATCCAATTGAGCATAGGTGGTAATTACATTAATGACCACTGTGGGGACTCTAATAATAAACTCTTTAGGCTTCCGGCAGAAGTGTAAGATAAGCCAACGCGAATGAACATCAGCATTACTTATATTGGATTTGTTGACAAGGTCAGTTACAGTCAGTCAGGTAGACTAGCTGATGCATGGTGTAATGTCTGCATCACTTCAATGCCATAGCTTTGATTATTGAGTCAATGGCAGAGCTGTAGTGGGCACGACACAGTGCGCCATCCTTCGTGCATATCGTGTAGTGTCCCACTTGGTTGTCACAAGCCTGGATTCATCGACCCACCGACCCGAAGTCCGTCACAGAGCTCGACAAGATGCACGACTGAGGTCTGCCTCATTTCAGCACAGAAAGAACGTGGGAAGACAGGTGGTCGATCCGGGGTAGAAAAAATGCATGATCAATTGACCAATGAGGTGCGCTAAACGGAAGCGGATCCAACCACAGCATTTCTTTCTCAAATCTAAGTGATGGTTTCTCAATTCCAAATGACGGTTTCGCAAATGAAAATTATAGTTTCTCAAAGCTATCTTAAAATGGTATAGTACATCCAAACATCATGGTAACCTTAAATAACTGGCCCCGCTTTGTCCTGAGAATCACTACTACCGGAACGAAAATTGTTACCTAATGTACAGATAGAAAACTGTTGGCGCTATTATTCTGATCACATAATCCAATTTTGTGTCCAACATTTATTGATGTAAAATCTGTTCCGGTGCCGTTGAGCCAGCCTTCAGTTTCCAATTCCTTGTCTGTTCATCCGCATTCGCTCACTGTGGAATTGATCAACCTGATGTACTGTCTGTTTGTTTTGCATCAGCAATTGAGGGGATTAGACAAAATCGTGACATCTCCCTCGAAGTGTGCTTTCTTTCCGGTCTGGACTGTGACGGCGTATCGTGCTTAGACAGGCGTGATTTCTGCAGACTAATCTTGTTTGAGTAACCGATATTGTGGATGTGAATCGTTCCAACTCCTTTAATCCCACCAGCTCCAAATTGTGTTTCTATATTCACCGAGGAAATGAATTTCTTCATCTCATAACCACCAGACATGCCAATGTTGATGAAATCATTCATTGTCTTTTTAATTTTTAGCCTGAGAGGAAAATCGAAATACGGTTGGGTCTACAAACCATATGCGTTCCATCTTCGTGAAAGTGGTGGGGTGGGACGGGGCATAGGGGTACGTGACATACTTGTGTGTTCGATTCAGCTGATCCACTCCGGATGAGAGACCCCAGTTGCCGAAAATCGATCCGGATTGCATGATGGCATTGGTGAAGTATCCGTGGGACCAGGGACTGACCACGTGCGTGCTCACACTGACCGCACCCGCGGACTCACCAAACAAAGTTATCCGTTCTGGGTCACCACCAAAATCAGCGATGTGATCTTTGATCCACTTCATCGCCAGTCGCTGATCCCACAAACCCATATTACCCGGAGCCTATACAGTGTAGCGGAAGCGAGGGTAGGGCAGGGAAAGGAGAGTTAAAAATTTTCTTACTTTTGGAAGATATATTGGAAAAGGAAATTGTTGTTGCCGTAATTTAACGACAGCAACTACAACTTCAAATTAAGCCCCTTTTTGTCAACAGTTTCCAGCTCGTTTAACAATTAACTGGTGACTTTTATTGGTCAACGCTCCTCTCCTGAAAATTACAAACCAGTGATATTTTACAGCTGTCCGCGGGCAACTCTCTCTTTGAAAGTATACTGCAAGACAAAAAACAAACAATACAATGATCGATTTGTTCTTCTGCATGGATTACTTCTCACTCAAACGGGATCGAATGGTCTGCCTACTCTCATACAGGGTGATACTAAACTACAATTCCCCTGAACTTTGTTCTGTCTACCCCAAACCAACCGTACCAAAACAGTCCTCATGAGTGCACGACATGCACTGGCAACCGAGCCTCAGTATCGTGGAATTTATCAGCTAAGTCATGAATAATCGTAACATACAACAACAAATTGTAATGCTATTCCAATAGTAGGTATCGGGCTTGTATTATCAATGAAGTGGTAGCTTTATTCCTCAGCACTTGGAACAAATTTACCACTGTAATATTTCACAGTATGTTTGAAAATTTCTGCTAAGGATGACAAAACATTAATCAGGTCACTTGCCATTTTCCTTTGATTCATACATCCCAGAATCTTTTCACGATACAAGAGATTTGGGACAATTTACTATCACGCAGGATGAGGTATGTAGTTCTCAGGATTATTGGGTAACAAATATCTCGGGATGGAAGGGACAACAGATTGTAGGTCAGAATGAGATATATAAATGTTTAACGCGTTTAGACCACCTCAAATGTGAACGAATCAAGCAAAAAAGTCAATCAAATGCACCACAACTATAGGACGTACTGGTGTTCTACAACGACTGTCGAGTTCTGAGTCTCGGGTGTTTTTTAGTGTAGCAAAATAAGACTCAAACGACCTTGGTTTGCAGGAAATGAATTAGAATTAGAATTAAACACGATTCAATGCTTATACTCATATTGTTTCAGTAAAACATTAAAGTGGAACCAGAGACAACAAAATCAGGGGTGCTATTGATTTTCTGAGCATTCAAAATAAAACGATACCGGAATTTGAAAATTTTGTCTCAGTAAGTGTGTAATCAAAGTGTGACAGGTACCCCGATTACAGTTACATAAACAACACATACACTCACTTGTCAATTGTGTTGTCAAGATCAATGTTATATTCAAGATAAACTGCGAAAGCTGCCCAAAATACCATATCGGACACATTTGTAGTAAACTATTAATAAGGATCCGTTAACATCGACTGGCAGTCTGGAGGCATTATCACTAACTTTCCTCCACGGAGATCGAGAGGGGCATGAATTACAATTTGAATCAGTGAGAATTATCAATAAGCACCGGTCAAAACACGCCAGAGAATTTCTCGAGGCTTATTACTCAACAAACATGCATATCGAACCCGATCACATGTACACGCCAGTGCAACTGAAGGATCAAATGATGTAACAGCAGGTCACGTGTTGGCCAGGCGGAACAACTATCCTCATCTCCATTCGCACCAGATCAACGGCGAACAAAATTAGGCACACTGAGAACAAGCGACAAAAATGGTCGCTGAAAATGAACATATTTAAGCTAACATGGGTAAAAGCAGAACATCGCCACTTCACAAGCACTTGAGTTGTCATGTCAAGTTTTGCTGAAAGATATTCAAACAAATTGTTATGTTCTGTGAATAGTTGAAGATGTAGCGTCTAGGATTTCATTATTTACATAAGGTTAAGTGACAATTTGCTGCACAGTTGCCTGAACAGTCCAACATAGCACACTACAAATTGCATAGTGACAAACAAGGTGATTTTCCCTGATACGCAATCAAACCGATATGCTACTATATATCTAAGAAATCAAACATAAAACTGTCATTTTGAAGGGAAAGTTCACCTCAGTGATTAATTGGGACAAAGTTCATCTTAATAGCCAATAACGGGTTTCACAATTGTCATACAATTCACCACAAATACTGTTTACAGATTATATAGGTAACAGTAGAAAACATAATATGCAAACAGTTATACACAACTGTATGAGAATGAATTACTGGAAAGCAGTGGTGTTCCCCAAGCTCTGTTTGTTCTAACCGCTGTGATGGGTATCTCTCAGACATATCACATAATTGCTTTTTCGTTCTTCCGATCGCTGAGATTAGTCGAGATGGGAGTAGGCGTTTGTGGTAGGCCTGCACAAATTGGTTTTGGGTGCATACGGATGAGGAATGAAGAGGAATTCCAACCTCTTCCAGTGAACTTTCCCTAATAGTCGACCGCGAACCCCATACAGGTGGCTGAATGCCTCGGTTAACTTCGCCATGTGGTCTGTTTTCAGCGGGAATCCACTGCACTAATGAGTGACCTGATTTGTCCTGTGTTCAGTCGTTCATTGTGATGTTCATGGATTTGGTCGAGCAAACACATGTGACCGTGCGCCCTACGTACGTCATTACACAGAACCAAGTTTCTAAGTTTATTCACCGCTGTGTTCGTTCGACATTTGCTTGGTTTTAAGCCCGAGCTACCGGCCTTATCACACCCAAAAGGGGTGCGGGTGGATGATTATACTTTAAACGCTCATAACGCTTCGGATGGTCATCCACTGCCTGTGAAAGCTTAATTGAATTGTTTGGAACATAGTCGGAGTGCTACAAGTTTTGTTTTTCTTGTTGTTGTTGTTGTTGTGTACACAATGTTGTTATCACCCTAATTGTTAACCCGTGTAATGCACTGATTTTTTGTCCCCCCCCCCTTCCGCTACATATTTGACGCTTTGTTGATGATTTCGTTTCTGATGAATTCGTGGTTATCCAGTCTTTCTCGCCCTATCTTCAAATGTCCCCCAAAACGTGGTTGTCAAAATAATCTGCCTGATTCAGTGTTGCTAAGATGGACATGACTGACGATCAGGGGGGTACGCTTGGGACCAGGATGTATCCAAGCCATAGTGTTACCTCTTCTATAGTCAGACTGTGTCTTTTATCTATTCCGTCATCTTGCCACACATGCACGGAATCGCACACACATGCACACACACACACACACACACACACAAGTAGATCCTTTTTCCATTAGTTACAAACCTCTTCATTATTCATGTAGATGAATCCCAATGGACCGATACGATAGTTCATCGACGCCACAATAATGTTTTGCCGTGCAGCCAGGAAGCGTCCGTCGTAGACACTCAGTGTCGGGGTTCCCATGTAAAAGCTGCCTCCGAAGATCCACAGCTAACCAGTGATCCCGCGTTGGTCACCATGGTAAGAGGGAGAAACAAAGATGTGAAACATGTATAATGTTATTATCTGGTGACTAAGATATGCATAACATCACTTACTGGACTAGGACATAATGGTCATTTCGACTGGAAGAAGCTTCATTGCAAATCAAACTACTAATTGCGACTAACTTTTCTGTGAACAGGTCGTAATTTTCATATTCTATTTTCACGTTCTTATAACGCTACATCGTGCAACGAGACGGTCAATCTTGCACAAGGGAGCCGCCATTCACAGGTGATTACACGAGGCGGTTCCGATGGTGGAATTCGAACGCACAATCTCCAATCGGATGTGATATTGACTTTAATCGCTTAACCACATCCGCCTTGTGTTAACACATTCACCTATTTCACCCGTCCCCCGAAGACAATTTATACGCATTTGGCGTTTATAGCTGTGCCCAACACTGCGGTTTGTGTGGAACAATCGAACACAGCATTATGACCACAAAGAGTAGGCATGTCTCNGTGCCAAAGTTTCATTGATTCTCTGCTTGAAAGATTCAATAGTGGGTGCACAAACGACATGAGATGGAAGGGCGTTCCAAGAATTGCATACTCTGACTGCAAAAGACTGGCGCTGGCATTCCAATCGACATTTTGGAACCAGTAGCTTGAAACGGTATCCCCTTATAAGTACATTGTTCGATAACATGAGCAGCGATCGACACGGATGGTTTGGATTCTGCAGTATTTGTGTGTGGAACAATCGAACACAGCATTATGACCACAAAGAGTAGGCATGTCTCTCACGCACGAGAATACTCGTAATGCGTATTTTCCGACTGTCATCGTTCACCATTTCTCTCTCTCTCGGAGAAAGAGAGAGGAAGCTCAAAGTGCACATCTTGACCTCATTATTACATCACACCAGAATGGAATGGATGCATCAGCATATCAGCATCAGCAATGGGTGATGTTGGTAGAGTCCATTTTCTATGTGAATAAGTTCATCTTAGCATGCACTCCATGAGAGTTATTCTCCAAAGAAAATGAGGTCCTTTTACAAGCAAACAAATAAACAGCGGAAAACGAAGGTGCTAGTCATTCGTGGAAACAGTATGACATTTCAGTGTACCGCCTCATTAGATTCTTGAAAATTTGTTTCAGTGCGCAATGACCATTCGAATTGTATTCCGGAGCCAATGCGATAATCGAACGAACGAAAGTACCACCACCACACGACTGAAATGCAATCAGCGCATGACGAGCTGCCAAAATCCCGAGAGTTGAATTCCAAACTAAAATAAACCAAGATATACCAAAGTCGAGGGGGCATAAATTTGCACAGAATAAGCAAAACCATGTGCGAAACAGTTTGTTTTGTGGTACTCCATATCTCATAGTCCCGGTTTCGTCGCCGCGGATCTCTTCAGATAGGCAGAACAAACCGCACGATTGAATTTCACAAAACCTTCATGTACAGTGAGAGGATTTCGTCCGTAAATTACAAATTTCATTTCAAACTCGTTGTATGTGTAGGTGGGTGGGTGGGAAGGGGAGTAATGAGAATAAACCGTGACTTGTTATCGCAAACAGGGGAGTGGTATTTACCTCATTTTATGTGGTGTGGTGGGATCCATATCGACCGCATTACTTCTGTCACGTCTAACCCAATACATTTAGTAGCAGTGTCTTAAAAAGTGCCGACCGAAGTCATTTAATAAACCAGTATCGAATAGAATAACCCATTGTTGGATGATACTTCTTCACTGGGAATCTCCACTGTCTATTTGCTTCTGAACAATCTTTATCATAGACAGTTGTGAGCCCGCAGCTCCTGAGACTAGTCTTGTGGCTGGGGGAATGTTTCGGGAAGCTTTCTTCCTCCTGTTGGATATTGGAGAGGTGTAGTGACGAAAATATTCACAAACCACTGGCACTTTGGGATGGAACACTATCGTGGCAACAAATATTAGCAAACACAGTTGGTAGCGAATCTCTGTGTCGAACAGCTGCATAATTTCAACTGTCCTAGATTGAATTGTAGATTTCATTTCTCGGGTTCGTTTCCGTGTCATATTTTTCATTCGCCCCGTGAATTGTGGATCATAACTTTAACCGTCATATCGAGAAATTGGAAATGCATATGATGAAAAACTGTGACAAGGGTAAAACTCGTTTCCCGTGATTCCCGAACCAGTGACTGATTGGTTGAGCTGAGAATAGTGCCTTGAGATAAAGTCCATCACCTGTATTCCGTACTATACCGTTTCAACTTCAAGTGAATCCGCCGTAACTTCAAGTGAATCCAACCAATCGCACTCTATTGGAAACCCCACAAGATTATTGGCGTTTCGGCCGTCAATGTTACCCATTGAACCGGGTCGGTCTCAACCCCACATAGTCCGAATGAACTCACTTCCCCGTAAACAAACAAAAGTACATTTTTAGTGAGTTACCGAGTAAAGTTGAATGTTTCGAGAGGGGAGTGGGTTGATCGAAGTGGTGCACCCGACCTATCGACTCCGATTAGGATAGAACTTTTCGACTTATATCTCTCATTCACAAAAAGGTTCAGTGATGAGAAAAAGATCAGATGTATTAAAAATCAAGCATTTTGATAGCTGTCGGATAATGTACACGAACATGGTTAGTTGCATGCTGACAACGATTTTTCATGATATGAGGCTTGGCATCACTAGCAGTGGTTTCCAAATATGTCATCCTCCAGTTTCGAATGACAGGGTGCGTTGTCACACACAATCACACATGATTTGTGCTCTTCTGGCAATAATTGATCAACTAGCGTTTGGGACCATTGCAGACACAATACGGAGTTGTACGATCCTCTTTTCCGAATATAGTTCAAAAACCCATCAGTATTCATTGCACCCATGATGTGCAGATTTCTTGCTCTTGAACTAGCCACTGGTATCCGACACCTTTGACCTCTTGGTGCACGCCCATAATTTCTTGAACAATGTAGGTTGAAGTTGGTTTCATCCATTCAGATAATCTCATATCCAAGTGCCTCCTGCCATTGCAAGTTTTTAACATATCTAAGAAGAAATGACTCAAAAATAGGTTGTTGCATTATCTGTTCCTCTTTTCTTTATTATCCAATAAGTTCATCGTTACTGGTAATTGATGAATCTTTTTGATTGTAATCAGTTTCCCTTCTAAATAGTTACTGATAGTTGTGATGGAAACTTCTTTATCGTATTCAGCCTTGAGTTTCATCCGTAGAAACCGTAGTGTTATAGTCGGATTCTCCTCAATCCATGGAATGATTTCCTCTACATGATGAGTTGATAACTAGTTGAACCGTCTTCCTCCGTGGGTGAATTCTCACGGTTCATCTTGATGTCTTCTTATTCATGTCATCGCTGTCATTTTCTTCACACCAAGTGATGCAGTGACCATCAACCAGTCATCATCATTGTCGTACGCTCGTAGTAGATTACACTTACGATCCATTGCAGGATGCCACAGCAAGTAAATAAGATGTAAATATCAAGTGATAATTTAGGGGTTATTTATACCAAGTAGGCAAACTAATCCACTTATGATTATCGTATTTTTAAACAAGAATCCGAACTTGTCAAGGTCCCTCGAACTTATAGCAACTACAAAACAGTTGCCTGATAATAATCCAACAGACTATTGTTACCAACACAAATCCCTTGGATTGTTTGGTTGCTTCCTGTCCATTATTTTAACACAGGTTAGGTGTCACATCATCCCAGTTACTAGATCGTATCAACGGATATTCATAAAGCACAACAATGGTTGACACGGTCACAAACATAATGAGATCAAATAAATTCGACAGATTTCTCATCCAGATTGTTTAGATGGAAAACAACAAAATGTGGATTCCTTATCTGAATGAGCAGTCTGACCTATCTNGTCATGCTTTATGAACATCTAGTGATACGATCTAATAACTGGGCTGAAGCAACAGTTAGTCTGTAGAAAAATAATAGACTGGAAACAATACAATAGTCAAAAGGGTTTATGTTGGCAACAATAGTCCGTAGGTTTATTATTAAGCTACTGTGTTATAGTTACTAAGAGAAGGAGGAAGATTGACAATTTAGGTTACTTGTACAAAATATGATCATCATTGCTAGATGAGTTTACTTATCTGATACTTTTATGAAAACTAATTATCCCGTGACACAATCTATTTACCGCCTTCGAGTAGCGCAATTTTCAAAGAACCTCGGTATTCGAAGCTTCATTTTGGTGTTAACCATTGTACGCCACACCTCAATTAGTCAGTTGGGTCTATCCCATGGTTGAAAAGTTGCATGCGTGGATTCAGTCTAGGCCATCAGTATCCTAATGAGTAAATTTCATTGGGCTAACATACTGAGGTAGCTATACTCACCTCAGGCTGAGTAAGGGACTACAATGAACCAAGTAGGCGATTCGTCACCAGCAACGGCGTTCGTAAAGAATACCCTAGTTCACGATTCCATTTTTTCGTAGATCTATTTTTATCATCTGTGTTTACGTAGTTTACCCCGAGGGGGATGGAGCGAACGAGTATTCTGGAAGTGAGCCGTCATGTGTTTGGGTATTTATCAGGGATAAACCTGCTAACTCATCGAATTCAGACTGGCAGGCTTCACTGGTTAGGGTACGTATTACGTATGCCCTAAATCAGCTGCCATTGAGGATCTGGTGCGGAAGGCCGATCGCTCTATTTCGACCTTTCGCTGTTCGTTAAAAACACCTCACAGTTATTATTCACTGCAAGATTGACTAAACGAAAGATGACAAAACAGATTTGGCTTGACTCAAGTTTAAGTTTTCGGTAATCGTGCGAACAAATCAACCGCCTTAATCCGCTAAAATAAAAACTGGCAGGTATCTGTGAAAAAATGCACTATGTACTGCAAACTGAGCTGGTTCAGAACGGAATGAATAGAATCCGGTAGACACTAGTGATTATAGGGAATTTGAGTAATAATGTGAAATGCCTACACCACGGCGCAGCTCAGTTCGATCCATCCACTCCCCTCTCGAAACATTCAACTTTACTCGGTAACTCACTAAAAATGTACTTTTGTTTGTTTACGGGGA